TGAACCGCAGGGACTGGTCCCTGGCCAGTGGGCCTCTGATCTTGGCGGAGCTTTGTTGAGACATTGATGCACCGAGTGATTTCTCCAGACAAGCTCTCCCCGAGGAGCAGCTCAGACGCCTTCGCATTGGAGCCCTGGATCCACTTGTGCAGCCATGCACGTGGCTGTACATTTCCACCCGCGTTCTGGGTGACTGTTGTGTCAGTCCCAGCAGCCGAGCGCAGGGGCCGGCCCCAGGCCCCCCGGTTCCTGCAATCCAGGTGGAGTGTCTGCTCTCCCCAGCGCTGACAGCCTGGATCCTGCAGTCCGCCTGCCCCCCACCCCATGGAGGAGTGTGCCCGGAGGGCAGCTCTCCCCTTGCTCTCTGCCCTGCCAAGCCCCATCTGCTGGGGCTTCCCTAGGGCCGGGAAGCAGAGCAGAAAAGACTCCTGTGCTGTGCCCAGCATCCCATGCGTCAGGGTCGAGCTATTGCTGAACTTGCACATTTCAATTCAGGTATTTCTGACGCCTGCTCGTCGTTGCTGCTGCTGCTGCCTGAAAGCCGGGTCCCAGCGCGGCTCCAGCTTTTTATTAGAGCACTCGGTGCCCTGTGCAATCGGAATAAACAGCCTTTCCTTTGAGAGGTGCAGCCTGCGCGCAAGGTCTGTCTGCCGCCCGGGAATGGCGTTAGCCCACCCACTTCATTCAAACACGAGGAGCAGCGCTCCCCAGCCAGAGCTGCAGACAGGGCCCATCTGCTGTACTGGGAGCGGGTGGAGGAGACTGGGCTGGAAGCAGGGAGCACGGCTGGTTCACGGCAGGATCTGTGCTACGTCGTCCGCAGGGCAGCTGGAAGGGCCTTGGCGGTGGGGTTGCCAGGTGTCCAGTATTGAACCAGACAGTCGGGTATTTTTGCCTCCTGTCCAGTAAAAAAAATTCAGAAAGTACCAGACACCTAAAGTGTCCAGGATTTTCTGATTTTTTTCCCAGCCAAAGGCAAAAATCTTGGGTGCTTACCAGGTTCTGCAGGGAGCCGCCAGCCTGGCGCAGGGAGGCGAGATAGTGGTGGCCACAGGCAGCCCGTTGGGGCCAAACAGCCGCCAAACAACCATGCTCGTTTCAAAACTATTTTTTTTGGCTCAACAACTTTGGTCTCCCCCATTTCCCCGGGGGGCTCGTTGGGGGGAAGGGGGCTGGGGGTTTGGTGG